CACAGGGGCCTTCAAACCTCCCTAGGACGCAAAAAACCCCGGGGGAGTGTACTGGAGTGGGTTCCACTTCCTCAGGCTCCCCCATCTCCAGTGGCCACAAAACAATTATGAGTGTACAAGTGCGTCTGGCACTCCCGCGAGGTCCCAAGACTCTGCCCCGGGCACTTTGAGGCCACCCAGGAGAAAACGGGAGCCGTGCCTCTCCTCCTTCCATGTCTGATGTATCGCCTGGGGATCTTGTTAAAATGCAGATTCTGATTCAGCAGGTCTTGGGAGGAGCGGGGGCTGAGATTCTGCATTTCTAATAAACTCCCAGGTGAAACACCTTTTCCATAGGGAGGAACCAGAGAACCCCTTGAAACAAAGGTGAGCTGTGGATCCAGTCTGAAGGAGGGTAGAGAGGGCCGTGGACCGCGGGGGAGGAGTGAACGCCAGGCACACAGGCATGCCCAGGGTAACCTTGGAGGCCGCGTCAGTGGGATAGGAACACAACATGCTGCCAGCTCTTTAAAACCCTGGGCTCCCTCTTTCCCCCAGCCAGAGACCCACCCTTTTCTTCCGGCCCTCGGTCCTGCCTCTCGGCCAAGTTCCGTCACACATGATCTTCACCAATTGCTGGTCCGGCTTTGGTGTTTGGCCTGAATTCTGCAAGCATTTGGGGGACCGAGCACTTGAACCCTTCTGATGTGAAGTGCTCAGGGACTGACTCAGAGTCCCAAGTACCTGGGCAACTCCAGAGCAAGCGTCCTTCCAGAGCCATCCACCATGTCTAGCTGTTCCAGACAGCCTGGGCTCCGAGCAGTCTGTCTTCAGGTCAAGAAATGAAAGCTACTCTTAAACTCAAGATGCTCACCCATACAGTCCTGTTGAATTCCTATAAATCTTCTGAAGTCCCCCAGAAGGGGAGAGGTCCCATACTTCGTAATTAATCCCATCCAATAAAATGCGCTCAGAAACCAGTGATCCTGCCCACGTTTGGTGAGGTTTTGGTATTGGAGGGCGGCGGGTGAGCTCAGCCTGTAGCACCAGCTGAAACTCACCGAGCTCTCATCTGTGCATCTGTCTCACCGCACTTCATCTCCACCACATCCCTGTGAGGTCAATACTATCAGGATCACCCTCACTGCACAGAGAAGGAAACTGAGGCACAGAGAGGTTAAGTAACACGCTCCACGTCACACAGCTTAAGTGGCACAGCCAACATCTTAATCCAACTCCAGAACATGCTTCGCCTCTCTTACCTTCGTGTGATTTTCAAACATTGTTCTAAGGCTCCTTAGGACCGTCCCAGGGGCCATCTGGAGAGCGGGGGGAAGGAAAGGGTAGCAAACGGGGCCTCTGTGGAAACCTAGGGGGATCAGAAGCAGCACTTCTGTCTTTCCTGCCCAAGTCTGGAAGCTACTAAGGTATGGAAACACGTTTCACACAGAGGAAGTACACATTTCTCCTTTCTTACCGGTAAAGCCCTTTGAGAAACGTAGCTCCACCATCTGGTCACGTGGGCCTGCCACTGCTTCACCCAGAATGGGACACGGCAGCATGAGAATGGACCCAGATCCTAGTAGGGCTGCCCACGCACGCTCGGTTCCCTCCTCGCAGGCCCCAGTCTGACCCGGGAGGGCGCGGAGAGCAGGAGACACCGCCCTCCTCAGCCGCAGGTACACATGTGAATCACCTGGGAGCTTTGAAAACCAGGGCGGAGGCCCACATCGACCAGTTCTGATTAAAGCGGTCTGGTTTGGAAGGCAGCCCGGGTCTGAGGGGCTTTGCGGCTCCCCAGGTGATTCCCATGTGAAGCCAGCGCCGGGTAAGATCCCCTCAGGGAAACGCAAGGACGGGCGGTCTCGCTTCAGCTGGAGGAACGGGCCCTGCTCCACGCTTCGCTGTGCTACATACTGAGATTTCGGGTGAGGATCTGTTCCAAGGAAGGGCCTGCTTCTTTAAAAACTGCAAAGCAGTAGGATGACCACCCAGACAAGGTGGGGGGAGTGTCACCTTTATTACAGGCAGTCACTAAAATGTTGAGGTAGCCGAAAAGAGGGGTGGGGAAGAGAAGTAGGTAAACCGAGGGTTGACATCACTAGCTCAAACATGTCGCATCAAATTTCTTTGATCATGAGTAAACAGTGGTTTCGGGCAGCACAGCAGATGCAGAATCTCATCACTTGTTGAAAAGAAATTGATGAAGGGTAGCTGATTTTTTTTTTTTCTAAGTAAGCAAGAAAGGGGAGAAAGTTTTCTCGACAGATCTGAGCTGTTTCTTTGGGAAAAAAAAATAATAAATCTGGGTCTTTTTTCAAGGTCTAGATTTCTTTAGCACTCTATAGAGTATACTCCAAAAACTGATAGAATGTCGTTTCCCAAACAAATTCAGTGCTCCTAGGTTCAGAAGGAGAAAATGCTTTGGATTCGTTGCAGAAAATAGAGTTCCTCCAAGTGGTTTATTGCACTAAGGTACCAAGGGGAAAGCGGGAGGTCATATATGATGTGAAGGAGTAGGGGAGAGGGGAAGGGAGGAGGGAGAAATTTCACAGACCAGATTCCCTGGGTTTTGCTTCAGTTCTACCCCATTACTTAACATATACTACCCGTAAACTTAACTCTATTGAAAAATCTTCCCACTCAATATGGTTGAATTTAAGTTCTGGGGTTTCCATTAGAAAGGATGCCCTTCCAGTGGCAGCAATAGTCACCTCTCTCCCCACCTCTGGGGCATTTAGACTGGGTGAGTTTGAGGTTCTTGGGTGGGAGGGGGCATCTAAATAGATATGTCAGGAAGCGGTTGACTGCAGGGCAGGAGCTCAAGAGAGAGGGCAGGAAAGATGGTCATCAAAAACAGACATGGCAGGTAAGCGCTGTGAATTGTGCAAGACTGCTGAATCTCAGATCTGTACCTCTGAAACAAATAATGCAATATATGTTA